CTGTGTCTTCACTGTTTTGTAGCCCGAGCCCAACACGGGGCTACAAAACAGTGAAGACACAGTTTAGCTTTAGGGTTTAGGCTTTAGGGTTAGGGTTTAGGATTTAAGGTTAGGGTTTAGGCTTTAGTGTTAGGGCTATATAGGGTTCATAGCGGTATTGCCCCCCAATACCGAAGAATCAAACTGGAGAACCACTATGGAATCTGGAATGGAACCTGTAGTACCGGCGCTGATACTACAGATCCCGGATGACCCAAATTACCTTGTACCTTGGGAACCATGTTAGTATAGGATACAAAGGTCGTGCAGGGATTTCTTTCGATCGGTCCGTGAAGTTGGAGGTATGTACCCTCAACCCTACACCTTGAACTCTAAACCCTAAACTTTGGACCTTACACCCTCAACCGTAAACCCCATACCTTGAGCCCTAAACCTTATGTAAGCTCTAAATCTTAAGCCCTGAACCCTAAACCTTGAACCCTAAACCTAAAACCCTAACACTCTCGGACCCTGGCCCACGAGGCATCCTCTATTGTGAGCACAGGTGTCCAGTTTTCTTGTAGTACGACTGACTGGGTAGGCCCCTGGAATGTATGATAGTTCGCTAATGGCTTTAACAGGGGACCCTATACACGAACTGTTTTCAAAGGGTTTTAGGGGCCGGAAAGTTTCTCCTTATGGGTTTTAGCGGGCCCTAGAACCAGATATCGCTTGCAAAAGGAACCCGTACCACATCGCCCTTGTGCCTTTGCATTCTGCTTGCTAGGGGAGGGCAAAGAGGCCTACACCTGTGGAAGAGCTATAGGCTCTAAACCCTAAATCCACCCCAACCCCAAAAAGACACAGATTTGAGGGTGGAGTGCTCAAGGTGAATCCCAAGTCAGGGCCTCAAACTCTCAAACCCCAAACCCTAGGCCCAAACCAGAAGTTCAATAAACCCTGAACTTCCCACTGCCGCAAGCCCCATGATCAAAGGAGAAGATTCGAGCACTTTTCAGCAAATTGGGCGCTGAGGAAGAGGGCATCTCGGCGAGCGCAGACTTAAAGTGTTCACCCGAAACCCTATACCCTAAATAGTATTGCGTCCACGTTCCTTCCGCTTTCCGTCTCTTGAATTAGCATAGAACCAGGTACGGCATCCTGTAAAGAAGAAGAGTAGTCTTTCTAGGGCACCTTTTGCGGCGGCATGCTAGTTGGGGTGAATGCATGATGTCATATTCCGGCAGGTTGCCAATTCTGGGTTGAGGTGTTGCAATAATTCCCTAAACCCTAAACCCAGACCTCACCTGCAGGCTGGGATTCCCAATTCTGGATTTCGGGGTTGGGGGCCGGAGGTTAAGAATGACCTAGAAAGCCTACTTACATAAAATACTGGGCTACTTTATCCAAGGTGGTAGGAGCTTACGGTAATATGGGTTATCATCATGGGCCGCTGCCTTTCTAGTTGAGGCTTTGGGTTTGGTGCTTGACGTCCAGGGTTAATTTTTGTTTGGACTTTGAAGTCTACGAAGGTTCCATGACGAACAAATGAAAAATGCATATGTGGCGCCAGAAGAGTGAAAGAGTAGTGAAACACATTTAGCACCCAGGCTTCGAGTTTCAGTAGGATCCACAAACTCATGGCAGTCTATGCCCGGCTGAGCAACTCTTGCATGCTGACACGAACATCATAATTCGGGCGGTGCATGCGGTGACAACAGGAATAGCAGCAGACGTCACGTGAAAAGAGTGCAATAACACTCTCTCAAAAAACATGAAATCTGGACATCAGCCTGTTGTAGTCGATTTCCCTGTTAGGCCACGTCACCGCTTTCATTTTTCAAAGTGTGGTTGGTCATGGGGCGCAATGTAAAAGCCGGAAAGACCTGGAAATCCCTTGACAGCTCTTATATAGCACTAGAACTGTGTAGCCCGTGTTCTTATTCTCCGTTTCAAGGACCTCTACATGAAGTCAAGCTCTTTGCAGATAGGACTTTGACAGTGGCTGAGGCATCATCACCTACGCGATGCGCCTCGCTCGGATTTGAGGGGTTCCCAAGACCTTATAGTGCCCCTTAAGTAGATAGAATATGGCTTCGGGTTCTTTTATAATAACATCCCCATATACCCCATATTCTATCTACTTACGGGGGGACTATAGGTGCATACTGGAAATGAAATGAAACGCAAGAGATTCTAGGATACTTCCCTATGCATTTTATAAGCATACTTTGAAGAACTCAGAGTTGAATCGTATAGGCCTCCATACGAGCTACCGCCTAGACTCCTTAAAGGGAGATTATATAGGGGACTACTATTGGGCTTATAAAGGAGGATATCAGGAGTTTAGACAATGGCTCATATGTTCGGGGCTTAGGTGCTGACATGGGATCCAGGTCGCTGAGTTGTTGCATCCACAACACATCCGGCCCACATCCGGCCAAGTTCGGCTGGAGCTTGCAGGTCTTTGGTGACATTCTCTGGTAGGTATTTTGGGGGGTCCAGGTGACCCTACCCTAAACCTCTAAACCCTAGTACAGCACAGCAACTACAAGTTGTACCGGGCCTTTCGGATGCGAAGCCAACTCTTAAATCCTAAGCCCTAAACCAACCCCATCTCATGTGCATCCCACTCAGTTTTAGGGGGCTTTCGCGTTAGAGTTTGAACCCTAAACCCTACAGTATGGTACACCCTAAACCCGTATCCTAAACCCTACGCCCTTTTATCCATAAACCCTAAACCTTAAGCCCTAAACTCTAAAACCTAGACCCTTTGGGTTTAGGGTTTAGGGCTGCCATCCCTAACCAAAGACCCTTCTCCGCAGGTTCGAGGAGGGCCTGAGCTCACCAGCAGTGATGCAGCACCCTGCCATGGCTTTAGGCTTCAGGATTTCTGGGTGTAAGATCTAGGGTTGAGGGCTTAGGGTTTAGGGTTGAGGGTTTAGGGTTTAGGGTGGGTACATTTTAGGGTTTTGTTCTAGGACCTTAGGGTGTGAAGGCTATAGGGCCTGAGGGTTTAGCCTTTGAATCTTTTTCAGCGCTGTAGTTCTGAGCTTAGCTGGCGTTTTCTGTAGAAATCCAATAGCTCCCGCTGCAGAACAAGAATGTCGTAGTGTCTTTTTTGTTCGGGCATTCTTTCAATTTGTTTTTGCCATTCTATGGGCTCAGCCACCAAAAGGCAAGTGAGGGAATGGGGGGTCTGAGTGTTGTAGGGCTTGGGGGTTGTTAGCCCTATTGAGCTTGGGATCTAGGATGCAGGATGGGCTTCAGATTTCCGACTTGCTTGGCCGTACATTTGGCTTGCAGAGAGGGAACTGCTTTTCCAAGATACCCTTAACCCCAAAAAACATATTATCATGCTGGGTGTGTAGCACGCGACCTGGCTCCAGGGCCTATCCGTGTGCCGGAAGCTCATCTTTTGCACCCTAACCTCCCACGCGCAAAATCCTAAACCCAGCGGCCTAAACCTTAAACCCTGAAACCCTACAACCCTAAAACCCCAAAACCCCAAACCTCTAAACCCGACGCACCAAATGCTGAACCCCACTGATCCTGGATACTCCGGCAAGGCTCAGTAACGAGGTTGAACCAGATATGAGCTCTAGTCTAAACTCCTTACAGGGGGATATATAGTGGATTATATAGGGGAGTATTATAAGGGTTATCAAGAGGGATACTGGAGTTTAGACTATGGCTCATATTTATCCTATTTCCGCTTTAGGGTTTAGGGCTTAGGGTTCCTTGGGAGTTTTTTCCAGTTTTCATTATAGTATAACCTCCTAGGAATTATCAATGATAATATGCTGAGGTCTAGGGCTGAGGCCTAGGAGGATTATAGTTTTAAAAGGGTTCTAAAGGGAACCCCAAACAGCAAACCCCAAGAATATGGTAGGAATATAATAGAACATAAGGACCCTGTTAGGTATATTCCTGTTATATTCCTACTATATTCTTGGGGTTCCCTGTTTGGGGTTCCCAGTAAAGTCCCTTTAAGTTTGTAGCTGTCACATGAAACTCAGATACTTCGAGACGCTGGGCCTCGACGTCTGGGATGCCTGGAGTTTCTTTAAGCTCTTGGACTTGGATTCCGGAGGCGCGTGTTCAGGGTTTAGGGTTTCAGGGAGTAGTGTTTAGGGTTAAGGGTTTCAGAGATTAGGGTTTAGGGTTTCGGGATTAGTGTTTAGGGTTTAGGTTTCTTCAGGGCTCGGGTGGGTGGTTCAAGTTCAGAGGGATTGGGAGTCACTGGCTACCAAACACCTTACGTACCTAAATGAAATTAGGGTTTAGGGTTTAGGGAGGGAGGTGCATGTGTTGGGGGTTTGCGTTCGTGGTATGGCACCGTATGGGCGTTGCATGTAATCCCACCTGTCGTTTAATAACCCCTATAATACTCCCTCACATAATCCCCTATATAACCCCTTGATGTCAAAGCAACAGAAGTGCTTACACCCCTAAACCCTGAGGAAGAAAGCGCCATACTAATGGATAAATATATGAGCCATAAGCTAGACTCCTGAAAGGCTGTTATATATGCGATTACACAGGGGATTACTATAGGGGTTATTAAGGGGTATACTAGGGGTGTAGATTACAGCTCATATAACCAAAAAAACGGAAACCCGCTGTCGCTCAACCAAGGACCTATGATGTTCCTGACCTGTTTCAGAAACCTTCACATAGCCCGTCACCCCTCATCCCTATTAACCCCAGTAAAGCCTCTATCTCAAATCTTAGATGCTTAAACTTAAGCCCTATATAGCCTAAACGCCTAGTTTCCCCCTTAGTAACCTCTGTAATATTCTCTACAGATTCCCCTAGATAACCCCCTTTAAGGAGTTTAGGCTATAGTACATATGTGAACCGGAGGGCAAAACCTTAACCCTACCAGGCCTCTACGGAAACCACCTTTTTAGCGTCATGTCATCTTCTTCTGTAATACATATATATATATATATATACATATGTATATATCTATGTCCCATAGATTGAGGGTTCCGCATGGTCCAGGAAAAGAGGCTCTGATCTCTTGTAGCAAAGCTCGTGAGGATCATGGAGCTATAGCTTTAATATATGTGTCCTAAGAAGAAATCAGGCAAGGTTTCCAGACCCTAAACCCTCAACCCTGAGCCCCAAACCCTAAACCCTAATCCCTACACCCCAAACCCTAAACCCCAAACCCTAAACCCGAATCCCTAACCCTGCACGCTAAACCCTAAGTCCTCGCACAGGTTCGGTGGAGATCGAAGAGTTCTTCAAGGGATGTTTGAGGCACATGCCGATTCGCCAAGGGTGTGATGATGGGTGTTTAGGGCTTCGGGCTTAGAGTTTTGGGTTTGGGGTTTAGGGGGTTTAGGGCTTAGGGTTCAGGGCTTAGGGTTTAGGGTTTAGGCTTGGGGGTTTAAGGTTCAGGGATTCAGGGGCTTGCGGTTCAAGGCCCCACTCCTCCTTAGGCACCTGTGAGTCGATCGTTAGAAGTTTAGGCCTCCATTGACTTTGGGTTTTGGGTCTAATTAGGGTTTAGGGTTGTGTCAGGCAAGATTTCCGTTGGACAGCCGAGGTCGGCGTTGAGATAGCCTGTTTACGGTGTAGGGTTGCCTTCCATATGGACATGGGCATACCTGCGTTACCTTCAAAATGTTCTTCTCGACCGCAGGCCTCGTCCCTAATGATATTGTACGCCCTACTCACCCCCTAAACCCTGAACCGGAAATTCCTAAACATCACAGTAGTTGCCATTGTCCGCAGCACTCCTTCATTCGATACACAGGGAGTTCAGCCCAAAGCCCGATTCAGAAATCAAAGCCCAAAAGTCCTCCCAAGCCCAAACAAGTTCAACATGATATCACTAGGACTGATTAGCGCCATGGCGAACACGCAGAAGATGATTCACAAGCAACAAGCTTCTACACCTTTAGTCAGGCAAAGCGGAGGTTGAGCCTGCTTCTGGCCACCAAACCCTCAATCCTTAACGCTAAAATGGGAACCCTAGAACCTAAGCCCTGAACCCTAAGCTCTAGAACATATGAGCCCTAGAACTTAAACCCTTAACCCTCAACCATCACATACCAAAGAAGTTCAGTTATGAAGTTTAAAACTACCCCTAAACTGTAAATCCTAAACCCTGAACCCCTAAAACCAAAATCCAAAACCAAAGGTTCCGGGGCCAAGCTAGAGGAGTCGACGTTGGTAAGATTCTTCACGACCAGGCCTGTTTTAGGGGTTTAGGATTTAGGGATTTAGGGTTTAGGGATTTAGGGTTTAGGGATTTAGGGTTTAGGGATTTAGGGTTTGGGTTTAGGGTTTTAGGATTTGCGAGCCGGGGCTTCCTGGGATGAGGGTTCAGGGCTTCGGATTCGGGATTTATGGTTTAGAAATGAGGGTTCTGGGTTCAGGGTTTAGGGTTCAGGGTTGCAGGTCAAAGCTTTGGGGTTCACCGGGATTCAGATTCAAGCGTGATGGGTTTCTCCCTAAAGCCTAATCCCTTGGCGCAGGCCAGGTTTTCTCCGGAGCACGAGAGTGTTCGTGAAACTGTTGATACGAAAATCCTTCATGACCTTAGCATACCAAGGTTTAGGTTGGGCTGGAAATTCGTATACTGGAATGCCATAGTTCCCAGCATACACTGTACAAGGTATTTAGTGTCATGCAGGATGCCCTAAACCCTGATACCTCTAAACCCTAAACCCTGAACTTTAAACCCTGAACCCTACACCCTAAACCACCCTAAACCCTGAACGGACAGCTAGCTCCGGATACATTGAAGCGGAGGACGCGGTTTTGGGGGTTTAGGGTTGAGGGCTTTAGGGTTTGGATGCTATAGGTCTTAGGGTTTAGGGTGTAGGGTTTAGGTTTTGGGGCGTTTAGGGTTCAAGGTTTTAGGGTTTGAGGGGTTAAGGGTTCGGGGTGCTTACTGAGTAATCACCGTGCTTACTGAGTAATCACCTCGCCCAAATAAAAAAACCCTGGTACTAATACGTAAACCCTACACCCTAAATCGAAAGATTGGGTTGTGTTTGAGAATGTTTCGCC